CGTGCAGTTTCTTTCTGTCCACTATAAACACAACCAACAGCAATGAATCAACAGTGTAAAAGTGTAGTGTAAGAAGTAAAATACTCTCATAACATAACACTCATACACACAATCAGTGAACGCCGCTCTGTTTATGTTATGTATGAATATTTGCATTGCTTTAACATGTTAGCAAAACTTATTTAAAACGTTAACAGAGCTTTTCTATATACATATGTGTATGCAAGTAAAGAAAGAAAAAACTGAAAACTTACAGCACACGTTTTACATGTGCGCTCAACGATGCCATTGATGACTCAGTGAAAATAAGCGCAACTAACGTAAGCAGTATGAATTTGTCTGTTATTGTTATTGTTATGTTGTTATGTGCCAAATTGATACTTTCGTTGTTACAAAATAGTTCAATATGTGCCATGTACCATATCATTTTATAAGTAGCTATAACTACATACACATGTTGTTGTGTATGTTTTGTACCTTCACTGAAATCTCAACACTACCACCGTTACTGTTATTGTAGCTACTCTGCTGTGCTGTGCTTGCTGTGTTGTTTCTGTTATTACATATTCGGTATACAGTATTATTATTGATGTTATCTTATGAACTCACGTCATAAATGTGCTTGGAATTTATTTGGTTTTTGCAGTTCATGACTTTTGCTTTCTTCTGATATTGCTTTTGCCTTTTTTTCAAAGACATTGTTATTGCTTTCTTTAATTTTAGTGCTTTTAGTTTTTTTTTTTAAATATAAATCTTAACATTATTTTACTTTCTGCAAAAATGTAACACAATTTTTTTGGTGTCACCAAAATGTTAATTAAAAGTCATACGTGCTTACATAAAAAAATTTGCTGTCCAAAATTTTGCCATCATATTTTATATGTTTAATGTGAATAATAAACATTTACAATTTAGCAATTTAATAGATGTTATCTTAAGTAAAAAAAAAAAACATAAAATTAAAAATTTTGCAATTTATCTTTCTTTTTGCATAATTTTTATTTATTGAATTATTATATAGTATATATTTAAAAAAAGTGTTATTGAAATGTAAGATATAATTTAACAAATTATTATGTATTCAGACTTTGCTTTATGTAATTTTTTAAAGTAATCAATAAAATTATTAATCAAAATAAATATATATATTATATATTAAATCCTTTAACTCCTAGGAGAAGCATAGGGCCGCAACAAATATCTTCCACTCGGTACGATTGATGGTCAGTAGCTTAAACTCTCCCCAGCTTTTCCGCATGTGTGACATTTTCATATCAATTTGCCTTCTTCAAGTGTGTGCAGGTCTGCCCCTTCTTTTGCTACCCATCAGGTTCCACTCAATCGCCATTCTTGTAGTGTTACCAGTCGGTCTACGCAAAGTGTGACCGACCTAGTCCCATTTGCATTTATGGTTTCGGTTCTTATAGGAATTAAAATAAATAAACTGAGCATATTTTGCTGTTATATTAGGTAAAATTTTAAAATTAAATCTAAAAAGTGTAAAAAAGTGTAAAAAAATTAAAAAATTCATATAATAAACTGTTTGAAAACAGCTTTCAAATATTTAGAAAACAGATATATATGTTCATAATCTCTCCCACTTTATCTCTCTCTTGGTGTAGAAATTAATGTGGACCTAAGAACACTACTCTGTGTATTCTTAAATATAATAAATTGAGTTTGTTTCTAAACGCATAACAAAAACGGGCTCTTATGTTGCTCGAATATATATGAACGATATGAAATGGAGTTCTGACAAATTCTATCATTTGCATTCAATGAGTTTTAGTGTTAATTTTGGACAAGTTGGTATCGAATATTTCTCTCCAGTTTATTCTATCAAATTGCCAAAGTTTTGAACAAGAATAAAATGTTTTTCGCTGATTCTTATTTGAATGATATAATAATTTGAATATAATAATTTGAATGATATACTTTTAATATAACTTTTTATATTAAAAGTATAGAGTTTAATATTAATATCTTTTAATAGAGTTTTTAATAGATAATTTTTGTTAAATAATTTCCTTTTAAAAATTTTGAAATGAACATTTTTTTATAAAATTTTTTTTCCTTTAAAATTTTATTTTTTATTTTATTTTAAATGTTTAATACAAATTTTTAATGCTTAATATTTTAATTTTTTTAAAATTTGAAGTGAAATCTTTGCCCTTTTGAACAATGTTTAAAAAATATTAAGCTTGGTAGAGTAAAAAGGCCATCAATTTTTGAATAATGCTTTTTTTTACGAGAAGAATTTTTCAACTAAGTAATATGTTAACAAATAAAGTAATTTAGTTTACTTAATCACTTTAAAGGTTATTTTTTCCGAAAAGTAGTAAACTACAACAACAAAAATTCATTTTTAGATTACTTTCATTAATTGAAATTTTAGCTGACCAACACTTAATCACTTTAGTTTATTTGTGTGACACATACAAATACAAACTCACTCGTTATTTCGATATGAGATATTTTGCAAACCAATATTTACACTAAAAATACTAGAGTATTCATTTTTTTAAGAAAACCCTTCTCCACGTGAGACTGAAGTTTCCACGAGTTCATGTATGTGCAGCAACCGATTTGTTTGTAGACCGTGTTAGATCCATAGTTCGCGCTAAAGATTATAATAGATTCTAATGAAAATTCGAAATAAATTAAAAAATTTTATTTTTTTTCAACATCATATTCTGTTGGTTCAATATAATTGATAATTATGACCAGTTGGAATGCAATTGGATCATCCTAAAAAAATTCATTATTTTTATCGGTTTTCAAAACCTATTTATTTAATACTCTTTATATTATTACAGCTTATTTTTCCAAATATACAAATACGTTCAGTGTGTCTACTACGTAAATCGTTACTAATATTGTTATTTAAATTTATTTATCAGATTGATAGTATTAATCTCAATCTTATATATATTATAATTATAATCTATATATTTTTAGTGGACTATAACTAAAAGTTGTTAATTTTCTGCATTTCTGTAGTTTCTATTATAAACATATAATTTTAGAAATTATCTCTTTATCTTAATGAGACATTTAAAATTAAATAATAATATAGATATATAGATTATTAACTTATACATAATATATAACTTCTTAATAATATATTTTGATAAAAATCATACAAAAAATAAACATGATATAAATACATAAATCGCAAAAGACCTCCAAGACTTTAATCACTAGAAAGCTATGCAAGGTAATTAAATTTAGATTCAGTTAATTACACAAAAATTAAAATCAAAATTAATGTTCAAAAATACAAATTTCAAAAAGAATAACAATTATTTTCAGCTCTTAACCTATCTGTGATGGAGACGAGTCATGTCATATTAAAAATATTTTTTTATTTTTTTATTTTTTGAAACACTTGAGTGAACGCCAATAAACACCACACTTAAATTTAAGTCCAGAAGTATCTTTTGCTCAATTTTGTATTGTATCTATAAACAAAATAATATTCAGCAGTACATTCAACTTAATTACAGTTTTTTTCTTACCAAAATTAACAAAAGCAACAATATTACTTCAATAATAATTAAGTTTTATTTGAGTATTACAAATTAATCTTCATAGACTTCAGAAGACAGTACGTCATGTCTATGGTAGACAAAATCTTATGGCCGCAAAAAAAAATCGTGAAGTCAAGTTTAGATACGAACACCAAACACAATTTTGAAATATTTAACCGTAAAATTCAATGAAATACCTAAATGCGACACTTCAAAGTTATGCAATTTGTTTTTACTTGAATTCTTTTTTTTTTACCATATATACATATGTATCTATACACATATATCTATATATTTTTAGTTTTTGTAAATTTATTTAAAATGTTAATAATTCAGCTAATATGACCTCAAAGTTATTTAACTTTTTGCGGCCGTTTCCGCTTTGGCTGTTGATATGCATATTTTCTAGTATCTTTTTCGAGTTTTTTTCCCCGTTTTGTATATTTTCGGTTAGATACTTTTTTTCAATGGTAATATCGTTGCTAACCGTTGTTGCCAAAACTGATTATGCAAATTAGTAAAACAAAAAAACAGCAAACTTTAGCATCTCATAACTTTGCCAACGACCGAGATACGAGAATTCGTGAACGTTTATGTATTGGCACCAATGTGGTCTGATGCTTAGATGTGATGTGAGTAGAAGATAGTTTTGGTTTCTATATTGCAGTTAGTTGATGTTAAGGTAATTAAAGTAGTTTTATATGTCAATAGGGTAAACGATTTGTTTGCTTAAGGTTTTGGCCTCAAAAATTATTTCTTAATGTTTGCATATATTTTTATATTGTTTTTTTTAAAGATAATAACAAAATGTTATACAGTCTATTGCAGCATAACTTCTATACATAAATTACCAAATCTTTCAAAATATTTTTAATTATATAATATATATTGTTGCAAAAATACTTTTAGTTTGACAGAAGATATGTACGACTTTTTTGAAAAGTATGGTGACTTAAGTACAAGAATTAAGTGCTCAGCAAAAAGCCTGCACTTATGTGGTAAAGAGCTAAGTTGTTCGATAAACTATTGGTCCGAAATAAGGAAGACAATTTTGAGAAAACCACGACTCTAAACAGTAAGCGATCTACCTTTAATTGGATATAAGGATTTGTAGAATCTAGTGGTAGTGACAATTAGCTCATATGAATAAATCTGCTTACAAAAACATTTGGGACAAATTGGTAGTCCCAATAAATTAAATGGTCGTACGCTGTAAAGTTGTCGTAAGCTATTCTTCACAGTACACTTAGAAAAATTTGACTAAAACATTAGGTTCCACTTGAAGGGAGCTTAGAAATAAACTAATATCTCAGATTCCATTCATAGAAATTTCTTTTCATACATAACAATCCGAAATCAAGTCAGCACGTTTCTGATATCGTTTCTATACAAAATTTAATATTTTAATATACTTTAATATTTTTTTTTTAATTCTTTAAATTTAACACATTTCAAAATCTTTTTTTTTAGATGATGTTCGTACAGCCAACACCACAACAACGCATTAGCATTCGCGAAGAATTGCGCGAACCTGAGAATCCAGCTGAGATTGAGCGTGACATTAAGCTCATCCGCGAATGGCTCAATACTCAACCACATTTACCAAAGGATATGGATGATGAACGTTTGGCTACATTCTTGCGTGGCTGCAAATTCAGTTTGGAAAAGGTGAAAAAGAAGCTTGACATGTACTATACTATGCGTAATGCTGTCCCAGAATTCTTTGCGAATCGTGATGTTAACCGGGAAGAATTATCCATGGTGTTTGATTATGTGTAAGTTTAAATAGAATAAGCAATTTATTTCTCTGAAATTATTGACTTTAATTATGTGATATATTAATCCTATAGACACTGCCCTACATTGCCCGGTTTAACTTCAAATGGCCGTCGTATTACATTTATACGTGCTATTGATTGTGATTTTCAACCAAGCCAAATTCCTGATGCCATGAAAGTTGCACTTATGATTGGTGATGTACGTTTGGCTGAAGAAAGTGTCGGTATTGCTGGTGATATCTTTGTTTTGGATGCTGCTGTTGCTACTGCAGCTCATTTTGCCAAATTCTCGCCAACCATTGTTAAGAAATTCTTAATCGCTGTTCAAGAGGCATATCCAGTAAAAGTGAAAGAAGTTCATGTCATTAATATATCACCACTAGTGGATACAATCTTTAAATTTGTTAGCCCATTCGTTAAAGAGAAAATACGCAATCGTATTACTTTCCACAATAATATTGAAAGTTTATACAAAGTAGTGCCAAAGGATCTTTTACCCAACGAATATGGTGGCAAAGCCGGTCCCATCATTGAATTAACTCAAATGTGGAAGAAGAAGTTGAATGATTACACTGCTTGGTTCAAAGAGCAAGAGGATAAGAAAGCAAATGAATCTTTACGTCCAGGTTCACCAAAGACTAGCGATGATTTGTTCGGTATGGAAGGTTCTTTCAGGCAATTAAACATCGATTAGAGAGCAATTAAGATTCAAATTTGAGATCCTAAAGATCATTTCTTGTGGTGACTACTTTAGTTTTTACAACCAAAGCTAATGTGGTGCTCATTATCGTATTATAGCTTAATTTTTTTATACTTTATGAATTTAATATACTTTTTGTTATTTTCGGTTAGCATTACTTGAACTGCTTTGTCATTTTTGTTAGGTGCGAAATTTTCACACAACATTTCATTTCTCATATATGTTTTTAATTGAATTATTAAAATAAATAAAAAGCTTGGAAAAAATGCGAACAAATTTTTTTAATAATATTTGATTTGACTATATATAAACTATAATAAGCATTTCTATTTTGCTTACTCTCTCTCTCTCTCTTTTTATAAGGTAATATACTGAATTTGCCTTCGTTGCGTCTTAAATAGTGTTTCATAAACGGGCCTTTAGATTTAAGATGATTATATAGTTTTTTATGTACCATTTCCTTCAAATCTTATTAATTTTGCTAAAAACTCTTTTGTTGGCAAATCAGAAAAATAGATAAATGAAAATTTGTTGAAGAAAAGTACAAATGAGAGAGGAATATTATCAAAGGAAGATGAAAATAAAGTGAAAAATAAAACGAAAACAAAACTGACTAGAGTTAAAAGTATTGGGAACGATCATATGTTATTGAAGAAGTAACTACAATGAGTGTAGGCAAGCATTACTTTATTGGGGGAGTATCATAGACACGGTTGCCACTTATGGTGCTTTAGTACCAAAATTGGTACTTTTTTTTCCGTTTGGTACTCTGGTACTCATGTTCAAAAAATGGTACATTTTCGGCGACCCAACTTTATTGTGGACATTGTATTGTTTTATACTTTTTGTACATTTTATATAAATTGTATTTTCTTATAAAAAGACAATAGAAAAATTTTGGACCTTTATTTACAGAAATGGTACCTTTTTAAACCAATTTTGGTACAGAAAAAAATTTTCAAGTGGCAACCGTGATCTTAGTTTGAAAAATAATAAAATAGAGCAAGAAAAAGAGAGAAAAAGAGAATAAGAATAAAAAAGTTAAAGCTTATGTTAAATATAAAAGCAGAAAAGAAATCAGGAAGTTTAAGAAAAGTGGAGAAACACAAAATAGATATGAAATGTAAGAGAAAATTACATTAAAATAGTTCTTTTCAGATTCGCATTCTGGAGCATAATAGAGTGAAGGAGAATGAAATAAAATATTGTAAGATACAATATAAACAATCACTAAAGAAAAAAGATATATATCAAACGATGTCAACAGTTATTTTATTTTTTTTTTAACATTACTTTTTTTTCACTGTCACTTCGATGAAATTGAGATGAAGAAAAAAAAGAAAAAAGACTATGAAAAGATTAGGAAAAACTATCTGTTGATGTCGTCATTGTTTTTATTTTTGTATTTTTTTTTCTTACTTCATTTCGGTTTTTATTTTGAATTTCATAATTCTTTTTTTTTTCTTTATTATAAATTTTTCTTCTTTAACATATCATTTTCTTATTTATTCATTTATTTTAATTTAATTCTCGTTCAACTAAACTTACAGTTTTCTTCTATCCACAATTTTTTTGTAGAGTTTCTTATTTTTGTTATATAATATTCAGTTTATAATGAATAATATATATTTTAAATCATATTTCTATATTTTTCTGTGTAACTCTTCCCTAACATATTCTATATTTACCAGGATCTTTATTTGTCTCTTTAACCATTTATCTCATTTTCGGAGTTTCAATGATTGTTGTCCCCACCTAATTAGTTTCATTCTACAAATGTGTATTACTACTTTACTTCTTACTTTTATTTTATTCTTTTTCTTTGTTTAATGAATGAGGTTTATTATCTCTTGAATCATATAGTCATAATATAAAGAAAGTCACATTTCGCTTTGATATTAAAGTTCATCGTATATATTCTATTAGGCGCAACGAAATATAATGGAATATAAGAGTACTAACAACTCTTTAACTCAGTTTTTAGAACATTTCAAATATTTTTAAATTTTTAAATCAGTTTCTATTAGTATTTATTCGTATTGGTATAAAAAATCAACATTAAAATTATAACATATAAAATAATTATATATTCTTTCTTTAATTGAATCCTCATGCGACATATTAAAGTAGCTAATCACTTTTAAATATCATAGATATGTTAATTTCTACAATATTTAACCTAATTGATTTATCTAAGTCTTGTGAAATATTTTTTTAAAATTTAATAATTAACTAAAATAATTAAAATTTAATCTAAAAATTTTATTTCCGAATTAAAATACGAATATCCGAAAAATTTCATAAACATGTTGGATGCGGAAGTGTGAAATTTCCGCACGTGGACTGGTTTACAAACACACTTTCATTTAACAAAAAGCAAAACAAAACAAAAACACAATGTATTAGTATTTATTAGTTGAATAATTAATTAAATCTCAAATTAAGTCAGCCAGTCATTCACTAATAAGCTTCGGGCAAATCCCTTGAATAAACAAGCTTATAAAAATGTATAAATTCATGGATAAATTTTGTAGTTCAAGTTCAATACGCAAAATTTGAATAAAATGGATTTGAATTCGCTACAAAATTTTACTGATTTTACCGATTTTACTGATTTATTTAAAACTAATAACTGTGCATATAACGAAAAATAACGTTATACATATACGTACGTGACTAACAGTGAAAATAAATCATGAATAATGGTAAAATGCAAATGTATCTCAAATGAATGCAGTCAATTGAAATTACAAAATGTAAAAAAATTACTTTTTAAACTGTTAAGTGAATATTGTTAAGTATGTAATGCAAATACTCTGCTACTAAGTGAAGTACGTTGCTTTGGAGTAAATCAGATTAGGATGATGCCACACTCTAGCTTCATTATTTAATGTCGAGGCTACTTGAGTCAGTGCAGACTGAAGCACTTTTACTCTCTATTAAATGCGATGTTTCTTCATAACCCCTCTCTACGCCTTGACTGAATTATTGTTTATCACTTCATCAGACTAAGCAATAATTGATCTCTAGCTTCAATTTCTTGGAATGTATTTAAGATAATCGTAAAAGGATTTTAAATATAAAAATATTTGAATACTAGACTCTAAGAAATATTTCTTCAACAGTCACAAGCACAAACACTAGTAGACATTGTTCTACGTTACACTAAATAATTTAAATATTTATCAATTGATTAATCGTATCTGAACTTTTAAAGATTTAATTCTTTCCAATTAATTCTTTAACTTAATTCTTAATTCTATACTAGGAATGCAATTCGCGAAATTTCATCATGTTCCTGTTCCTAAATGTGAAACTCTTTAACAATATTGCAGAAACATTTTCTAAAGAGGTTTTTCGAACAGTAGTGAATAACAACAACAAAAATTCATTTTATATTATTTTAATTAATTAAATTTTTTGCTGACAATATAGCTGTTTTGAGTATTGCCAAATACCCATCATCAGTGGTCTTGAAAATAGTTTTTGTATTTAATTAGTCGTAAATAATTTTTTGTAACTGCAAGTACCAGAAATCGAACTCATGTCCTGCCAAATTTGAAGCCCAAAGTCAGTGCACTTTAACATTTTCTATAAATAAAAATATAGAAATCTGTAAAAAACATATGACTCCAAGGTTCAAATTACACATGTTTCAATTCTTAACATATGCTGTCCAAAACTTTTATGATAATTATAATCACCCAAAAATTTTATTTGATTACGAATTAAATATTTGAATTTCTTCACCAATAGGCGATATTAGTCCAATTCAAAATTGATTATCCCGAAAACACCGGTATGATGAAAAGATTTGAAAATAACACTTATATAGAGTATAAGTGTATATAGAGCTATGGTTTTGGATTAATATGTATTTAATAATAGTTTATAATCACCTTCTGGTAATAATTCTCAAATTATAAACGGTGATTATTACTGCTTATACAGTCTGGAACTTGAGCATTGAAAGTTTTTGTAACCTTGGTTATTTATGGAAAAACACAATTAGTCATCGCTTTTAATTTGATAGGCACGTGTTCTAAGTCTGGCACTTGTAGATAGTCAAATTGCAGTCAAATTTTAATAAATTAATCAAATTTTTGCTGTTATTTCTTTATAACTGTTTGAACCCTTCAATTTTGTTTTTAGTTTCAAACCTTTGAATACAATCAGTTTAGAAGTTGTGTGAAATGATCTGACCTCACACGTATCGACCACTTATGGAAACAATAGAATGATAACGGTTTCAAATAAGAAACGAACAGCCATAATCGGATTCAATTGTGAATATTTGTTGAGTACCATGTAATGTATTGTGAAAGCAAAAGGGGTTTTGAATAAGAAAAGAAAAAGAAGAAAAATACAGTGAGATTCTTTTTTTTCAAGGTTTTCATATAACATCGCTTAAATTCACTAAGTCAAAACTATTGGATTATGTGCTAAATGTGCTAAATATGGACTTCAAATTTTATTTAGTTTCATTTTCACTTCGGATATTTGCTTTACTCAATCGCAACATTCCACTATACATATACGATATGTTTTATTTGTACATAATATAACTATTTAATAATATAAATATATAATTTTTTATATTCAGCTTGTCAACACTTTTAAGTTAACCCCACTCCAAAATCCTTATTGAAAAATTCCTGTTTAAACGTCTTGTTAGATTAAGGTGTGTCTAAGTAATTACGAAAAATATTTTAAAACTTTTGAAATTAAAATATATTTAAATAGTTTTAAGTATAGGTTTTCAGTAGTAATAAACTAACTTTGAACAAAATAAAAATAAATTAGAAAACTTTTAAAATAAATAATTTATAAATTAATAAAATAATTTAAATAATTAGAAGGTACCAAGACATCAATTGCAATTATTCCCGAAACTATAAAAGTAATAACAACACGCACAAGGAGTAATCATATAAAAGCCAGAAGCTTCTGTGAATTAATAAATTCATTTTATTTATCAACATAAACACATCAAAGGACGAAAGCATTCTGCAGAAATGTGTAAATTTAAGAGCCAACAACAAGAGCAACCGAGTTCCTACCAAATGGCAAATGCAGCGAAATTTCATCCTCGACGTGATTTATTTCGATTTATACGCAACACGATGCTTGTTGCGGCCATGTGTCCATTGCGGTTGACAGACTATTTTCCAAAATATTTATACTACTTGGCCATATTTTTGGAGTTACTATTTGAAGTGTTTTTATATTTTGTTACAATCCACATTTGGATTTTATATCTGCTT